AGAAGGAGAGATTTAAAAGCCTCTGAGACAAACACCAAACCAGCCCGACGGGAAATCCCGAAAGGGGTCCTCTAAGCAAAGAGAGAGCCTAAAGTTAACATAGACCAGAAAGGAACAGAGGCAGTATACAGTAAGAGTCACCTTACAGTCAATACAATGGCACTAAACTCATATCTTTCAATGGTTACCCTGAATGTAAATGGGCTAAATGCTGCAATCAAAAGACACAGGCTATCAGAATGGATAAAAAGGTAAGACCCATCAATAAGTTATCTGCAAGAGACTCATTTTAGATCCAAAGACACGTCCAAATTTAAAGTGAGACGGTGGAAAAACCATTTACCATACTAATGGACACCAAAAGAAAGCTGGGGTGGCAATCCTTATTATCAGACAAATTAGATTTTAATCCAAATACTGTAAGACATGAGGAAGGACACTATCATACTTAAAGGGTCTATCGAACAGGAAGATCAAACAATTGTAAATATCTATGCCCTGAACATGAGAGCAGCCAATTATATAAGCCAATTAAAAACAAAATCAAAGAAACACATCAACAGTAATACAGTAACAGGGGGTTTTAATACCCCCCTCATTGAAATGGACAGATCTAAGGAAAAGATCAACAAGGGAAAAACGGTTTTAAATGACACTGGACAGATGGACTTCACAGATATATTCAGAACATTCCATCCCAAAGCAACAGAATACACATTCCTCTCTAGGGTGCATGGAACAGTCTCCAGAATACATCACATCCTGGGTCACAAATCCAGTCTCAAGAAGTACCAAAAGACTGGGATCATTCCCTACATATTTTCAGACTACAATGCTTTGAAATTTGAACTTAATCACAAGACGAAATTTGGGAAGAACTAAAATATATGGAGGCTGAAGAGCATTGTACTAAAGAATGAATGGGTCAACTAGAAAATTAAAGAAGAATAAAAAAATTCATGGAAACAATTGAAAATGAAAACACAACTGTTCAAAATCTTTGGGAGGCAGTAAAGGCAGTCCTGATAAATTATATAAAAATACAAGCCTTTCTCAAGAAACAAAAGGTCTCAAATACACAACTTAACCTTACACCTAAAGAAGAACACCAAATAAAGCCTAAACCCAGTAGGAGAAGAGAAATAATAAAGATCAGAGCAGAAATCAATGAGATAAACACCAAAAGAAGGGTAGAACAGATCAACAAAAGTAGGAGCTGGTTCTTTGAATGAATTACTAAGATTGATAAATCCCTGGCCAGACTTACCAAAAAGAAAAAAGACCCAAATTAATAAAATCATGAATGAAAGAGGAAAGATCACAACCAACACCAAAGAAATACAAACAATTATAAGAACATATTATGAGCAACTCTATGCCAGCAAATTAGACAATCTGGAAGAAATAGATGCATTCCTAGAGAGTATAAACTACCATAACTGAACCAGTAAGAAATGGGAAACTTTAACAGACCCATAACCAGCAAGGAAATTGAAGAAGTCATCAAAAATCTCCCAACAAGAGCCCAGGGCCAGATGGCTTCCCAGGGGAATTCTACCAAACATTTTAAAAAGAATTAATACTGGGGCACCTGGGTGGCTCAGTGGGTTAAGCCTCTGCCTTCGGCTCAGGTCATGGTCTCGGGGTCCTGGGATCGAGCCCTGCATCCAGCTCTCTGCTCAGCAGGGAGCCTGCTTCCTCCTCTCTCTCTGTCTGCCTCTCTGCCTACTTGTGATCTCTGTCTATCAAATAAATAAACAAATTCTTTAAAAAAAAATTAAAAAAAAAAGAATTAATAACTATTCTCCTGAAAGAATTCTAAAAAAATAGAGATGGAAGGAAAATTTCTAAAGTCCTTTCTGGCCTTTAGGAGACCAGCATTACCTTGATCCCCAAACCAGACAAAGACCCCATCAGGAAGGGGAATTATAGAACAATATCCCTGATGAACACAGATGCAAAAATTCTCACCAAAATTCTAGCCAGTGGGATCCAACAGTACATTAAAAGGATTATTCACCATGACCAAGTGGGATTTGTTCCTGGGCTGCAAGGTTAGTTCAATATCCACAAGCCAACCAAGCTGATATACATTAATAAAAGAAAGAGCAAGAACCGTATTCTCCTCTCAGTAGATGCAGAAAAAGCAACTGACACAACACAGCACCCTTACTTCATCAAAACTCTTCACAGTGGAGGGATAGAGTGTATTACCTCAATATCATAAAAGCTGTCTATGAAAAGCCCACAGCAAGGGGAGAGGGAGAAGCAGGGTTCCCACAGAGTAGAAAGCCCAATGTGGGGCTCAATCCAAGGACTCTGGGATCATGACCTGAGCTGAAGTCAGAAGCTTAATGACTGAGCCATCCAGGCGCCCCACAAGTAACATTCTCAATGGGGAAAAACTGAGAGCTTTTCCCTTAAGGTCAGGAACACGGCAGGGATGTCCACTATCACCACTGCTATTCAACATAGTACTAGAAGTCCTAGCCTCAGCAATCAGATAATAAAACGAAAAGGCATCTGAATCAGCAAAGAAGTCAAACTCTTACTTTTTGCAGATGATATGATTTTTTTTTATTTTATTCATTTATTTGACAGAGAGAGAGACCACAAGGAGGCAGAGAGGCAAGCAGAGAGAGAGGGAGAAGCAGGCTCCCTGCCAAGCAGAGAGCCTGATGCGGGGCTCAATCCCAGGACCCTGAGACCATGACCTGAGCCGAAGGCAGAGGCTTAACCCACTGAGCCACCCAGGTGCTCCGATGATATGATTCTTTACGTGGACACTCAAAAGACTCCACCCCAAAACTGCTAGAACTCATACAGGAATTGAGTAAGGTGTCAGGATATAAAATCAATGCACAGAAATCAGTTGCATTCTATACACCAACAAGGCAGGAGAAAGAGGAACTAAGGAGTCCATTCCATTTACAATTGCACCCAAAGCCATAAGATACCAAGGAATAAATTTAAACAAAGATGCAAAAAATCTGTCCTCAGAAAACTATAGAATACTTGTGAAAGTAATGAGGAAGACACAAAGAAATGGAAAAACATTCCATGCTCAGAGATTAGAAGAACAAATACTGTGAAAATGTCAATACTATCTAGAGCAGTCTGCACATTTAATGCAATCCCTATCAAAAGACCATCAGCTTCTTTCAAGGAAATGGAACCAATAATCCTAAATTTTGTCTGGAACCAGTAAAGACCCCAGATAGCCAATGTTGGGAAAAAAAAAAAAAAAAGAAAAGCTGGTAGCATCACAATTCTGGACTTCAAGCTCTATTACAAAGCTATAATCATCAAGACTGTATGGTACTGGCACAAAAACAGACACATAGATTAGTGGAACAGAATAGAGAGCCCAGAAATAGACCCTCAACTCTATGGTCAACTAATCTTTGACAAAGCAGGTAAGAATGTCCAATGGTAAAACGTTTCTTCAACAAATGGTGTTGGGAAAATTGGACAGCCACATGCAGAAGAAGGAAACTGGACCCTTTCCTTACACCACACACAAAAATAAACTCCAAATGCGTGAAATACCTCACTGTGAGACAGGAATCCATCAAAGTCCTTGAGGAGAACACAGGCAGCAACCTCTTTGACCTCAGCCACAGCAACTTCTTAGACACATCGCCAAAGGCAAGGGAAGCAAGGCCAAAAATGAACTATTGGGACTTTATCAAGATCAAAAGCTTTTGCACAGCAAAGGAAATAGTCAACAAAACCAAAAGATAACTGACAGAATGAGAGAAGATATTTGCAAATGTCATATCAGATAAAGGGCTAGTATCCAAGATCTACAAAGAACTGTTCAAACTCAACACCCAAAGAACAAATAATCCAATCAGGAAATGGGCAGAAGACATGAACAGACATGTCGGCAAAGACGACATCCAGGTGGCCAACAGACACATGAAAAAGTGCTCCACATCACTCGGCATCAGGGAAATACAAATCAAAACCACAGTGAGATATCACCTCACACCAGTCAGGATGGCTAAAATTAACAAGTCAGGGAATGAGAGATGCTGGTGAGGATGCAGAGAAAGGGGAAACCCTCCTACACTGTTGGTAGGAACGCAAGCTGGTGCAACCACTCTGGAAAATAGTATGGAGGTTCCTCAAAAAGTTGAAAATAGAGCTACCCTATGACCCAGGTATTGCACTACTGGGCATTTACCCCAAAGATACAAATGTGGTGCTCCAAAGGGGCACATGTACCCAAATGTTTGTAGCAGCAATGTCCACAATAGCCAAACTATGGAATGAGCCTAGATGTCCATCAACAGATAAATGGATAAGGAAGATGTTGTGTATATATACAATGGAGTATTATGCAGCCATCAAACCCACTCCCACCTCAAAATCTTGCCATTTGCAACGACATGGATGGAACTAGAGGGTATTATGCTAAGCAAAATAAGTCAATCAGAGAAAAACAATTATATGATCTCAGTGATATGAGGAATTTGAGAATCAAGACAGAGGATCATAGGGGGAGGGAGGGAAAAATAAATAAGACAAAACCAAAAAGGGAGAGAAATCATAAGAGACTCTTAATCTCAGGAAACAAACTGAGGGTTGATGGAGGGGAGGGGGCCAAGAGGAATAGGGTAGCTAGGTGATGGACATTGAGCTCTGTGAATTGTGTAAGACCAATGAATCATAAACTTGTACCCCTAAAACAAATAATATATTATATGTTAGTTTAAAAAAAAAATCACATCACTCTTGTTAGAATGGCTCTTACCAAGAAGACATTAGTTAAGTGCTGATAAGAATGTGGAGAAAAGGGAAATCTGTGCTCTTAGAATGGACATTGATACACCCACTATGGACACTAATACAGAGATTCATCAAAAACATTAAAATAGAAGTACTATAATCTAGAAATCCCACTTATGGGTATGTGTGATAAGGAAATGAAATCAATATCTTAAAAAGAGTACCTATATCCCACATTCATGAAAACTATTCACAAGAGTCGAGACATGGAAAAGACCAGTAATGGATATCCATTGATGAATAAAGAAAATATATAGATCTATACATACACATACTATATCTCTATCTTACCTGTGGATCTATCTATATAATGCAATATTATTCAGCAATAGAAATTCTGCCATTTGTAACAACATGGATAGAATATGCAGACATATGCTAAGTGAAGTCAGTCAGACAAAGACCCACACTGTATGATCTATCTTAAATGTGGAACTTTAAATATCTAAACTCCTAGTAACAGAGATTGGAATTATGGCTGCCAGGGGCTGGATGTTGGGGAAAATGAGGACAAGTTTGTCAAAGGTATAAACTTCCATTTATGAGTAAATTTCTTGGATTGAATGTATAACGTGGAGTCTATAGTGAACAATACTTTATTATGTGTTCTAATGTTGCTAAGAGAGTAGACCTTAAATAATGTCACAAAAAAAGAAATGGTAATAATGTGAGTTAATAAAAGTGCTAATCAACCCTATTGTGGTAATCATTTTGTAATATATACGCGTACCAAATCATCACATTGTACAAATTTAACACAATTTTATATGCAAATTATATATTAATAAATTTGGAAAAGAGAATGATAGGTAAGTTTCATACACTTTTTACTATACAAACATATTTCTTGATTCTGTAAACTACTAGCCCCTAGAAGCAACATCCCCTCTTAACAACAAGCATGTACTATGTTCTAATTTAGATTTTTAATACCATTTATAACAAGAGGAACTTAGGCCCTTAAAAAATTAACTACTCTACTATGCAACCATCAAAAAAAAATGAAATCTTACCATTTGCGACAATGTGGATGGAACTAGAGGGTATTATGCTTAGCAAAATAAGCCAATCGGAGAAAGACAACTATTGTATGTTCTCCCTGATATGAGGAACTGGAGATGCAATGTGGGGGGTTTGAGGGTTAAAAGACAAAGAATTCCTTAAGGATTATAACCAATCTCTGGAAAAGTGGTGTCTCTCCCAGGCTGTCACTGGTCTAATAGACACAGGAAGAATATCTGAAGCTGAAGCCCTCTGCACGAGGAATTTAAAAAGTAACCCTGATCAGTCAGCTGTTATCTTACTTTTGAGACAAGTTCATTGTAAACTACTCCTAGAGTCACAAAACCCTCTCCCAGATGCCATCCTTGAAGAGCTGCAAAAAACAGTCATGTCCAACTCAACTTCTGTTCCAGCATGGTAGTGGCTAGCACACATATATCAATCCCAAGCAATGATGATGGGTGCTACAGAAATGTATTATAGAAAGAGTCTGCAAGTAGCATCCCAACAGGGCAGTTGGAGTGGGAAGCTGTCGAGTCTGTTAAGACTAGCCCTACTTGCTTTAAAAGCCTGCATGGCTAATATTTCCAATGATCACTGGTCACCTTTTGTTCAAGAAGCTACAACTGAGGCCTTAAAACTTTGTTTTTGTCCATTGGCTGTCTTTTTACAAGCTTTGTTACAATTCAACTGCAAAATGGGGGCAAGAGAGACACAGCGACTTTTGGAAAGAGTGGTTTATCAGCCTGGGTATCCCAAGTCTATTGTATCAATGGCACGTTGGTATCTACTGAGACACTTACATGCCAAAAATGACTACGAGCTTATTGATGTGCTGGTAAACAATGCCCATGGAGATACAAGAGCATTGGAACTGAATCAGAAATTGTCTTCACGGTAACAGTATGTTATTTTATAGTAAGCAAGCAAAGAAAAAGTTATTAGAATCAATGAATCAAGACTTTTCCCCAAAGCAACATTTTAAAAAACCATAGTTCCAGATTGTCTTTTCAAGGATTTTAAATTTAAAATTCCTATTTTAAAGCTAAGGACATTTAAGTTATTAAGCTAGGGGTTTAATTTTTCAAAAACTCTTAATATAACTTTAATTTGAGAAATATGTTTGATTTTGAGAAACCCATAATGAAAGGAAAAAACATGATTCCCTTAGGTGTTCATCAGTAATTTGTAAACCAGAAAAGAATGGTTTACACATTCTTTTCTCCATCTTGCATTTTGCATAGTAATATTTTTGTACCCCTTTACAATAAAGCCTTAATAGCCATTTTCCAAATAATATGTAAAAGCAAATTAGCACGGTGCAGAATTTTATTAAAAAATAAGTTGAAAGATGTAATTTCTTCTATGAATTCTGGAGTTCAGCAGACCGACTCATCATAACATCTAAATAATCTTAGAACCTGTTTTACTAGTGGTTCATCTCAGATTCTGTTGAAGAAGTATAATGTAAATGTTGGTGAGTTTAGAGTGCTAGTGGATATGTTTGTATAGTTCAAAACACTCAGGTGTATGGCTGCATTAAAAAAATCAATGGAAATTTTTGGAAAACAATGCTGACAGTGTTTAATTGATCATGTAATTTCTACAATTATGACAAAAAGACTTGAACTTTCTGAAATAAGAAAAAACAGTGTTTTATTTTCTTTATCAATTAATATCAGATAATTTCTACATTTCAAATTTTAAAACTTGAAAGCACATTTACCTATTTTAGTTTTTCAAAAAACTTTTTATATATCTGAAAAAACTATATGTTGCTTACTTTAGATTTGTGGTTTTAAAAAATATTTTCAGATATTTACATATATTATTTGTTGTATGTAAATGTGTTGGTTGTACAATTTATGTATGTAGTTTTTCAAAAAAAAAAATTGACTACTCTACATGATCTACAGGGTCCTGGGATTGAGCCCCACATCAGGCTCTCTGCTCAGCAGGGAGCCTGCTTCCCCTTCTCTCTCTGCCTGCCTCTCTGCCTACTTGTGATCTCTCTCTCTGTCAAATAAATAAATAAAATCTTTTTTTTTTTTAAATTGACTACTCTAGAGCTAATGCAGGGAATATACAAGAGAATTTCATGTCAGAAAGTAAGAAAGTGCTTAAAAACAAAACCAACTGAAGTATGTCAAAGCAGGCATAAGAGCTAACTGATAGAACTTTCTGTGGTCAAAAATTAAAGTTCTGCAATACAAAATATTTTATTACAGCTCAAGTTAGAAAATGAATATCCCTTAGCCTGTACTGAAATTAAGAGAATAGATTATAAATTGGTAAAAATAGACAAGTATCCTGAGCAAGAGAATTCCAATTAATGCAGATAGATTCTGCTACTTCAAGCAACTGCAGCATAATTCCCAAGCCCTTAAAACTGGTCTGTACATCAGGGTGCCTGGGTGGCTCAGTGGGTTAAAGCCTCTGCCTTCGGTTCAGGTCATGATCCCAGGGTCCTGGGATTGAGCCCCACATCAGGATCTCTGCTCGCCAGGGAACCTGTTTCCTCCTCTCTCTCTGCCTATCTCTCTTCCTACTTGTGATCTCTGTCAAACAAATAAATAAAAATCTTAAAAAAAAAACTGGTCTGTACATAGTGACCTTTTTTGAAACAGTACAGTATGGAAGGGGGGGAGAAAATAACTTTACTATGTCAAAACCTGAAAATCATTCCTTCAACTATGACCAAACTTAACACACATAATGACCTATTGTGTTGACAACATACATTCTTCCATACGATATGATGAGAATTGCATTTAAGGTCTATGCTCTTCCTCCCAAAAACCCTTCATCCCAGTCTAAGCATGATAAAAAAAAAAAAAATCAGAAAATTCCCAGTTGAGGGAAACTGTAAAATACCTGACGAGGAATCCTGCAAACGAGCACAGTAAGTCAAAACAAAGGAAATCAGCACAAGAAATGGATTTAGTTACTGATGACCGTGTTCACGCAGGTGTTCATTGGGTGTATCAAGTGTACTTAGCTGGGGAAACTAGGTGTGGAGTACATAGAAATAATTATTTGTGCAACCTTTCTGTTCCTTTGAAACTCTTTTTGAAACATTGTTATGCAATGAAAAAACAAGTACTATGAATAAAAGTCTAAAAGAATGTTATCAAACTCCTCTTTGGATTTTTCCTTTCAAAAATATACCCTGTGTAGTGTGAACATTATTTTCTGTCATAAAGGCATGTGTATCTAGGTATATATATTTATCATTCAATAAATATGTTTATCATTCAGTCTTATAGGTCTAGTGATAAAGAATAACATAATCACACACTGATAATCATTTTATGGAAATTGTAATGGTAAAAATATGCACAGTATACTATGGATATCTACATGAGAGTCAATAAAACTGAGAAGTTAACCTATGAATTATATTTGAACTGATAAATCAGAATTAACCACATGTAGAATAGAGAAGGAGGTTATGCATTTTATTATTTTTTTTAAAGATTTTATTTCTTCATTAGAGCACAAGCAGAGGGAGGCAGAAGGAGAGGGAGAAACAAACTCCCTGCTGAGCTGGGAGCACAAAGCCAGAGCCAGACATTCAGCCTCATCCACGCCCTCAACTCAGCCCCCCCACCGCCCCCCAGAGCTCTCCATGGGGTCTTCAGATCAGTCCTGCCATGCCGCTAGTCCCTAACGCTAACCCTTGGATGGGTTCTGAGAGGCCCTTCCCCAAGGGCCTTGCTTCAAATTCCCAGGGATTGGGGACACCGGAGCAATACCAGATGACAGAGCCTGTCAGCCAGAAGGAAACTGTGCCATTTGGATCTTCAGAAAGGTTTCAGAGCGGGAGAAATGTGCCCGGCTACCTCAGGCCACACCTATATTTAGTGGACCTCAGTTTACAAACCCAGAGACAACACTCACCCAGATACATGCTCTCAACTCAGCCCTGGGAACACTCCCAAAACATCTTTAGATCAGTCCTTCCATGCCTCTAGGTTCTAACTCTAACCCTTGGTTGGGTTCTGAGGGGTCCATCCCTAGTGGCCATGCTCTGAAGGGCAGGAGTTAGGAACACTTGGGCAATAGCGGAGGACTCAGCCAGCCTCCTTGAAGGAAATTTTGCCCTTTGGAGCTCTGGAAAAGATTCAGTGCTGGAGAAATCTGCATGCCCATCTGAAGCCACCCCCACGTTCAGTGGCCCCCTGGACACAAAGCTAGAGCCCGACATCCTGATGTTCTCTATCAACTCATCCTCCAGTAGAGATTGAAATACCCTGGGCAGTTCATGCCTGACATGCCCCTAGGCCCTAAGCTTAACCCTAGGCTGGGACTTCAGGGTTCTGTCCCAAGTCCTGGCATGCAAGCCCTACATGTGGGGGACACCTGAACAATACCAGAGGACTCCGCATGACACTCAGAAGGAACCCATGCCAATTGGAAATCTGATAAGGATTCAGAGTAGGAGAAATCAGCCTGTCCACCTGAGGCCATGCCCACATTTAGTGGACCCCTGGACACAAATCCAGATCTTGACAGTCATCCTGACCCACGCCCTCATGTCAGCCACCCCCCAACACTGAGAAGCTCACCAATGCACCTTCATTTTGGTCCTGCCATGCCCTAGCCCCTAACACTTACCCTAGGTTGTGTTCTGAGAGGTCTGTCCCCAAAGGTCTGCTTCTAATGTCCCAGGGAGTGTGGACAGCTGAACAATGCCTGAGGACTAAGCCTGCAGAAGAACACAGAAGAACACTGTGTTGATGTTCCATTTGGAACACCAGAAAGGTTTCAGGGCAGGAGAAATCTTAAGGTAAGGCAAAATCTGGGCCCATCCCAGCAGTCCCCCAGTTTCATTAACCCCCTGTACACGAACTCGGAGCCTGACCCCCTTCTTATCCCTAAACTAACCCTAATCCTAAATCCTAAACTGTAACCTTATCTCCTAATGTCTAATGCCTAACCCTCACCCTAAGCAGAAGAAGAAACCTGGAGAATGATAAAAGACATTTCAGACAGTCGAGCAGGTGGACACAGTTGAAGTGGGTGCGCGATCTTTTACAAGGTGGAACCTGTAATGATCTCATTTCAGGCTTCATGGTGGTTCTGCAGGAACTGTCCCTGTTGGGAGTCAAACACACTGAATCATCCCGTCTGAAGTGGCAAACGTGGTTAAAAAATGACAGCTCAGGGGCACCTGGGTGGCTCGGTCGTTAAGTGTCTGCCTTCAGCTCAGGTCGTGATCCCGGAGTCCTGGGATCAAGCCCCGCATCGGGCTGCCTGCTCAGCAAGGCGCCTGCTTCTCCCTCTTCCACTCCCTCTGCTTGTGTTCCCTCTCTGTGTCAAAGAAATAAATAAAATCTTTAAAAAAAAAAATGACAGCTCAGGAATCTGAGCGTGGAGATAAAGCACATTTGTGCTGCTGTAACAAGTTGACTGCACACTGAAAGCACCATAGATGAAATGTCTCTTCCAAACATCTACATTAGCACCATGTCACAGAAGCAGAGAGGACATCAGACATTGCGATGGAGGCCAAGCCCTCCCAGAGCCAGTTCACCCTGTGGAGAGGCCACATGTTAGCAAGAGATGTGGGAGGATTAAATCGGGCGCCCCTGTGTCTTGGGTGCAGTAGAAGCAGTGGGATTTGGAATTCCAATTCTCTACAACGCTCCACCACAACCTGGTTGGAACTATGTAGAAGCATGAAGGGAAGCCTCAGTAAAGTGGACTGGGGACCTCAGAAGGGGAGGCTGGATGGGAGAGCCTGCGTCAGTGTCCATGTGGCACACAACATAACCCTGGCCCTGAAGCAGACCCACACTCTGACCTCAGCTAGCTCTCAAGCCTGGCCCTGACCCCAATCCAAGACCCTAACCCTAGCCCCAAAGCAAAAAATGTTCACAAGATTCATAAGGTAGAAACTACAAATATCCAACAATGATGAATGCATAA